CTGTTACGATAAAGATACTAATTTGGCCGGAAATGTTTTGCTGGTCCCTGCTAGTATAAATAAATGTGATGCACAAGAGAACGATTTTTTTCAGAAAAATAAAGAATTTGTTTTGGATATTGAGATTGTTTTTGTTTTTTTTTTGGTAATCAGCCGAGAAAAAAAAAAGTATTTGGTATTCCCTTATCAGTAAAGAATGCTTTTGATTTGGTGTTGAACCGAAATATTTGAATACATGTAATCTTTCACTAATCTACACACCACCAAGTGAGAAACTTGGTGGAGCCATTGTTTTTATTTGTGACAGTGCATAAATATTTTATAGTAAATAACTATTGTAGTAACTGGAAAGTCATAAGTTTTGTGCCTTGTCTCTTTAATTAATGTGAAATCGTAATTACCGAGTTGTAAAATTTTAAGAACACATTGTTTATCTCTTGTTTTCGAGGACTTTTGATTTAGAAATATCTTTAATTTACACAATCAAACTACTTAAGGATGTTACGAATATTACTGAATATTTTATATCCATTACATTTCTGAATAAGCAAGCGTTATACACAAATTTTGTGTCTGCTGAATTCAATTGTAGTGCTATATTTTCTGTGTTAACTAACACAAAGATAATTCTGGATTAATTTGTGAACTTTGGCATGTGCTTATTGGTATACAGCTAACTTGTATTAGAAGAAGAGTTAAACAACTATTAGGGTTAGAAGCACTGACCATTGCTCGTAATATAGTTGGTGTATTTTTGGTTATCAGTTTGAGGTGTTAGTCTGCAAATTTTATCTCCATTCGCTACTGAACCAGTACTTAGCTTTTACAACCAAACAATGGTGGAGGAACTCGCGTATATGTGAGATAGCTGTCGCTACTGACCAATAAGCCCATCATCGGGATTTGGTGTTGTGAGGGGACCAGTTCATGTAGCTGAATGTACACTGTCCCATACAAGCTATGTAGATTGGTCATGCAGTAGTGCCTTTGTCAAGTGCATTCTTGTAGTACGGAGGTAGTGTATTCACCATTAATATAATATCATACATCTACATTAAATCTGTCTTTATTACTTATTTTTCCTAGAAAAGATTGAGTCATG